TAGAATTGAAGTAAAAATCTAAGTGCCCTGGCAACTTGGGTATAATGAGTTTCATACTTTCAACTTCTCTTTAAAAAGCACACACGCTTGCTCTAAACTCTAAGAAAACTGACAGGATGAATCTTTAACCAAGGGGGTGGTGTGTGGCAGCAGAAATTTTTTCCCACAGATACAGGAAGGTCTTCTATACACCTGTTTCAGATGTTAAAGTACTGTCCTGTGATGGCATTTCTGTAGAGAGCTGAGAAGCTGAGATTTCTGGTGTTTTAATTGGAAAGGGATCACGGGAGAGAGCCTAGAGCAAAACTCTTCAGGTTCTCATGTGCACCCCAATGACCTGAGGATTCTCATTCCGTTGGGCCGGGTTGGGACCTGCGGTTCTGCATTTCTCACAGTGGAGAGGCAAGAGCTTATAGCCGGCCTTCTCCACTGTGAGCAGGCACCGGAATCACACAGGGACGGCTGGGTCCCACCTCCTGAGTTCTGATACAGTAGTTCTGGTGTGGAGCCCAACACCTGGCATTTCTTTCTTTTTAAAACCACTTTATGGCCCTAGCCGGTTTGGCTCAGTGGTTAGAGCATCGGCCTGCGGACTGAAAGGTCCCGGGTTCGATTCCAGTCAAGGGCATGTACCTTGGTTGCGGGCACATCCCCAGTAGGGGGTGTGCAGGAGGCAGCTGATCGATGTTTCTCTCTCATTGATGTTTCTCTCTATCCCTCTCCCTTCCTCTCTGTAAAAAATCATATATATATATATATATATATATCTCCACTTTTTGGAGGTCTGATGACATACAAAAAGCTGTAGATATTTATTATATACAACCTGATGAGTTTGGAGATAAGTAGTTATCTGGGGACCCATCACCACCATAAACATACCCATCACCTCCAAAAGTTTCCTCCTGCCCTCTTTATTAATTATAATTTTTCTGCTAATAGAAGTTTGCATTCCTAAAATGTTTCCAGGTCACATTCATGCTGCTGACACCCACCCCCACCACCACCACCACCACCACATTTTAAGAGCCACTGGCTTAGAACATTTCTTAGACCACCTGAGTGGTCTCTCCTGGACTTTGCAGGAAAGCTGGGAAGCAGGGGTGGAGAATTCAAGATAAAACCAGCAACATGGGCCTTCAAAGCAGGTATTCTGTGGGCTTGAATGAGAAGGGATTCATATGCTTCAGATGGTGAAGATAAGGACGGCTAGCATTTGTTGACATTTTCTCTGTGCACCAAGCTAAGGGTGTAACTCACATTTTCTCCCTGGGCATCCGGCACGGGTGGCAGAGCTGGTGTGTGATGTGTAGCTGAGGAGCTGGATCTCAGTCTGGTGCGTGCCAGGAGGCAGCGTCCCATATCTGTGTGTAGCTGTGATCTGCAGAGGTACCTACAAGCCGGCCCCCAGGAAACACCTTTCGATCTGGACAGGCAGGCACTGCTGAGTTCTGCTTCACAGGGCTTGCAGGAAACAACCCAAAGAATTGAAGGGCAGGTGTTGATAATCGTGTCTCAACCACAAGAATACCTGAATATAGCACAGAGTTTACCAGCCCTGGTGCACACCAGAAGCCCTGGATGCCTAAGACCCATCTGGAGGGAGACATGTTTAAAAGCTCCTCAGACAAGATTGAGAACTGCTTGTATAGTTTTGATTTGGTGCCAGATGAACGGGGGAGAAACCAAACTTATCAAACAAAATACCTATTCCCAGAATGAATCTCGTGAGGGCTTGCCAAATTGGCCAGATTGGTTTCTGTGCTATTTACAGCCGTGGTTTTCCCATTTCAGGGTGCATGAGAGTCACCTGGAGGGTTTGCTACAGCAGATTTTGGGCCCCAACCCCAGTTTCTAATTCCGCAAGTCTGGGGCAGCCAAAGAATTTGCATTTCTAACTCATTCCCAGGTGGTGCTGATTCTACTTGTTCCAGAATTTTACGTAGTTGCTTTGCTATAAAGACCTTAACTAGTGTCTACTTTGCCTCAGCCTTTTTCCTTTTTGTTAACTAGAGCAAAAACATGACAACACTGAAATCACCCATGATCTAATGATAAACCACAACAAGCAGCAGCTTTCCCCCCTACACAATAGATACTGTGCACAGATTTTCTTTCAGAAATTATGATGATCCTATGAAGAACATTTCGCGTCTAGAAAGATATTTACTAGTATGTAATCCATGTTTCAATGCCCCTTAGGTCAAAATCTACACAACACAGTTTGCTTTGAGTTTAGAGCGACAGCAAAGTTTGTTTCTTTGGATAACACCTTGAATGCTTTGAATAAAAGTCGTTTTAGAAAAGCTATATCAAGCTACTGAATTAAAAGTTAAAGAAGCGATAGCCAGGTTAACATGCTATTTAGGTTGAATTTTAGAGGTATCATTTTGGTAAAGCCTCTGAAGAAATGTGAAAAGTAGGATCTCTTTTCATCTATAGGGCTTGGCCCATAAATGTTTTATGTTTATAAACTTAGAGTAATGATCAAGAGATACTAAAAGCTTTCACTGTTTTATTACCGTTTTCTCCATGGAGCAAAGTTGAGAAAAGCGAACAGCTGGGTGGGGGAAGCTGGCTCGGGGTGGGATAGAGGAATTGAGCAAAAAAAGAAAAAACTCACGGACATGGACAACAGTCTCCCCCCCCCACCCCCAAGACCTTTCCCTCCCTCTGGCAATCACCACACTGTTGCCAGAGGGGAAGGAGACTATAGAGAGGATAAATGGTGATGGATGGTATAATTTTATTAACCAGTGTCACCCCAATAAATTCAATTAAAAAGAGGGGGGAAAAGTGGAGTGAACTTAGAATTTGCCCACCTCTCACATATGGGACAAGAGTTAGAAAACCAGCCCAGACCTCCTTGCAGGTGATAGCACTGATGTGGTGGCATTGTGTGTGGGCTAAAAGATTATATATTAAAAATAAGACCAAGAAAAAAAAAAAGACAAGAGCGAAAATAACAACTTAGGTCACCACAGTAAAACAGAAAAATACAAACGAAGAAGCAAAATCTCCACAATGGGACAGGCCCGTAAAAATAATGAAAAGCTGATGCAACTGTTCTGAATAGTGAACTTGAAATTAAATTCAGGAATCCCTTCTTAAGGGAAGGTGGCTGTGGGCAGTCCCTAAAGCTCCTGTACTTGGGGGTAGGTCTTCAGTCACTGCTCCAGGTGAAGAGCCTCCTCCTCACCCTCAGGGGCGTGTCCTCAAGGGCCATTCCTGCTGTCAGCCATTTGTCCCCCAGCCCTCTCCTCACCAGACAGCCCTGGGGCCCCACCACTCTGAGGCCCCCTGGGTCAGCGCTCAGACACACAGCCACAGGTCTTCCCTCCCGGCCAGAACGAACCAACAGACAGAGGGCAGTGTTCTCAGCCCTGGATGCGCCCCTGAGAAGGCCCCTGCCAGGACTTCACCCCAGGGATTCTGCTGTAATTGGTCTGAGGTGGGAACTAGGCAACAGTTTTGCTTTGTTTGTTTGGTGTTTAAAATATTTTCTCAATTACAGTTGATGTGCGATATTATATTAGTTTCAGGTAGTATACAACATAGTGATTTGACATTTAAATAACTTGTGAAGTGATCACCTGGATAAACCTAGGACCCATCTGATACCATACATAGTCATCACAATATTATTGACTATATTCCCTATGCTGTGCTTTACATCCCCATGACAATTCTACAACTACCAATTTGTACTCCTGAATCCCTTCACCTTTTTTTTACCCATCTCCTCCCATTTGGCAACTGTCCAAACATTCTCTGTATCTCAGCCCGTTTCTGTTCTGCTCGTTTATTTTGTTTTGTAGATTTCACATCTAAGTGAAATCATCCGGCATTTGTTTTTCCCTGCCTGACTTATTTCACTTAGCATAATACTCTCTATGTGCATGCATGTAGTTGCAGATGGCGAGATTTCATTCTTTTTTTTATATATATATGTAGCTGAGTCATATTCCATTGTGTGTATATGCTCCACTTCTTTTCCCATGCATCCATTGATGGACACTTAGGTTGCTTCCATATCTTGACTATTGTAAATAATGCTGCAATGAACATATGGATGCATGTCTTTTCAATTTAGTGTTTTGGGTTTCTTCAGACATAGACCCAGAAGTGAAATTGCTGGGTCCTTCTTTGTCTCTTGTTATAGCCTTTATTTTAAAATCTATTAGTATTGCTACCCCTGCTTTTTGTTTGTTTGTTTCCATTTTCGTGAAATACCTTTTTCCATCCCTTTACTTTCAGTCTGTGTGTCTTTGGATCTTAAGTGAGTCTCTTATAGACAGTATATGTAAGTGTCTTGTTTTGTTATCTATTCAACCACCACATGCCTTTTGATTGGAGCATTTAATCCATTTGTATTTAAAGCAACTGTTGATAGATATGTATTTATTGCCATTTGATTATTCACATTTTTTATCTTTTATTTTTCCTTATTCTTATAAGGACCCTTAACTTTTTTTGTAATACTGGTTTGTGGTGATGAACTTTTTGAGCTTTGTCTTGCCTGGGAAGCTCTTTATCTGACCCTCAATTCTAAAAGAGAGCTTTGCTGGGTAGAGTAATCTTGGTTGTAGGTCCTTACTATTCATCACCAGATGCCACGGCCCCTTCTCTATTGCTCCTGTCCAGGGTTTAAGAAAGAAAAGGCAGCAGGAGGACTCAGGTCTCTGGTGGTGGTTGTGAAAAGCACACACACTCTTCCTTCAGGCAGGGATGATGTAAAATAGTAAGTGTGCCCCTTCAGGAGTGTTCAGTGTCCTCGGGCTCTCAGCGCTTCTTTATCCTCACTGGATGACCTGGAACAGAACCCAGTCTCTCTGAGTCTCAAGTTCCTCATGGGTAAAATGGGAACAGACAGGTTTCCCTTGCATTCCCAAAGTAGAGCATTTCTACGAAATCTTTTACCAACCGAAATGGTGTAAGGTGAAGAGGCAATTACCATTAATTTATACGGAAACATTTTTGAGCATTCCCAGACCCAAAACTCGATGCACATCCAATGTCTTTATTTCCTTCACCACAATCAAAACACTTAATTACATCCAGTTTAACACTGAGCTCTCTTAGGCTTTTCTGATACCTTAGGACACATCTTGCTGAGAAAATAAATCTAGATAAAATTCAGACGCTCACAGACACAGTCAAAGCTATGGCAGCTGGGTGTTGAGATGCAGAATGTGGTTCCTAAAGAAGGAGGTTGGTGGTGCCACTCTTGCTGCTTGGGGTGCACCTTTTTTTTTTTTTTCTTTTTCCTTTTTTTTTATATAAAAGCAAAAATCCTCTTCAGATTTCTTTTGGTTGGGAAAAACAGGTTCAGTGCTGATGTAGGTCTTCTGTAACATTAAAATGGCAAAATGCGAACTTTAGAAAAGCATGGGAAACCTATAATACATACTTATGTGTTAAAGAATGAATAACATATAAAAACCTAAAACATACAAGCATTCAATATGATGTAGATACTCTTGATATTTCTAGATAGAGCACATTAGCCCTGAATCTTCAACGTTTCCCTCTCTACTGGATCTTTTCCATCAGTGCACCAATGTGTTATTTCTCCTATCTTTAAAAAACTCTCTCAACCCTACCTCTTCCTCTAGCTTGAGCCCCATTTCTCTCTTCCATTTAAAATGAATGGCCTCACAACCCCAATGCCCATCAATAGATGAGTGGATACAAAAGCTGTGGTACGTTTATACAATGGAATATTACTCCACCATAAAAAAGGATGAAATCTTACCATTTGCGACAATATGGATGGCCCTAGAGCAGTGGTTCTCAATCTTCCTAATGCTGCGACCCTTTAATACAGTTCATGTTGTGGTGACCCTCAATTTCATTGTTACAAATTGAACATAATTAAAGCATAGTGATTAATCACAAAAACGATATGTAATTATATATGTGTTTTCCGATGGTCTTAGGCGACCCCTGTGAAAGGTCATTCGACCCCCAAAGGGGTCGCGACCCACAGGTTGAGAACTGCTGCCCTATAGGGTATTATACTCAGTGAAATAAGTTGGTCATAGAAAGACAAATGCCACATAATATCACTTATGTATGGAATCTAAAGGACAAAATAAACAAACAAATAAAATTGAAACAGACTCATAGATATGGAGAACAGACTGATGGTTGCCAGAGAGGAGGGAGGCTGGGGGATAGGTAAAAAAGGTGAAGTGATTAAGAAGTGCAAATTGGGCCCGGCTGCATGGCTCAGTGGTTGAGCGTCAACCTATGAACCAGGAGGTCATGGTTCAATTCCAGGTTGGGGCACATGCCCAGGTTGTGTGCTCAATTCCCAGTGTGGGGCATGCAGGAGGCAGCCGATCAATGATTCCCTCTCATCATTGATGTTTTTATTCTCTTTCACTCTCTCTTCCTCTCTGAAGACAATAAAAAAATAAAAATGTTAAAAAGAAGGACAAATTGGTAGTCACAGGGAGATAAAGTACAGCATAGAGAATATAGTTAATAATCTATATATATAAAAGCCTAAGTGACCAGCCAACTGTCTGACCATCCGACCATTTGACCGTCTGGTAGCTGTGACATGCACTGACCACCAGGGGACAGACACTCAATGCAGAAGCGGAAACCACAGGCATAGAAACATGGAACAGACTGATGAATCTCGGAGGGGGAGGGGGAGGGGGGAGGGTGGAAAGAGATTAACCAAACATCTTATATGCATACTAGAGGCCTGGTGCATGGATTGTGCACCGGTGGGGTCCCTCAGCCTGGCCTGCACCCTCTCGCAATCTGGGACCCTTTGAGAGATATTGAACTGCTTGTTTCAGCCTGATCCCCGCAGGCCAAGTCGAGGGACCCCACCGGTGCATGAATTCATGCAGCGGGCCTCTAGTATTATAATAACTATGTATAGTGCCAGGTGGGTAATTCAAAATATCGAGGTGAACAATTTGTAAAGTATATGATAGTAACCACTATGCTGTACACCTGAAACTAATAATAATATTGACAAAATAATATTAAATGTAAACTGAAAATGCGATTTTTAAAAAAGATTACAAAAAACACACCACACCACCAAATGTCCTTCAAAGCATGGTTCATACCGACTGATTGTAATTCTTCCTCTTCATTTGTTCTTGAACCTTTCCAACAAGACTTCCACCCCCACAGCTCCACTGACATTACTTTTTTCACGGTTACCGATGACTTTGGCTTTGGAGGATTCTCAGTCACATGTTACTTGCTCTGTCAGCAGCTGTGGGCACAGTTGATTTCTCCCACCTCCTTGACATATCTTTTTTCATTTGCCTTTCAGGACAGGCACCAGACCCCTCTAGTCTCCTCCTATCTCATTGGATGACTCTTTTGTGTGTGTATGGGGTTTTTGTTGTTTTTTTGTTTTGTTTTGTTTTTTGTTTGTTTTTTTTGCTTGTTTTCCCCCAGCCATAAGTACTAGACTGTTCCAGGACTCCTGTCTTAGATTTCTCTTTTCCATCTACTGTAGTTCCTCAAACATCTTATCATTTCTTAGTTTTAAATGCCACCTACTCATTGATAACTCCCAAAAGTTTATCCGCAGGCGTGACCTTTGCCCTGAGTTCCAAACTCATATATCTGGCCTCTCCACTTGGACATCCAACAGGAATCCAAAATGTAAATTCCCACAACTGAGTTCTTGATTGTCTCCCCAACCTGCAGCCCTGATGGCTTCCCTCTCAGTTCATAGCAACTCCCCTTTTCTAGTGGCTGAAGTAAAAAACCTGATGTTCTATTTCACTGCTTTCTTTCTCACACCCCACAACCAACCTACTAGCAAATCATTTTTACTCTATTTTCAAAATATACCCAGAATCTCAGCACTCCTCACCGTCTCAATTACTATTATCCTGATCTGTGATTCTTTCTTCTTTCCCTTAGACCAGCGGTTCTCAACCTGTGGGTCTTGACCCCTTTGGGGGTCGAACGACCCTTTCACAGGGGTTGCCTAAGACCATCGGAAAACACATATATAATTACATATCGTTTTTGTGATTAATCACTATGCTTTAATTATGTTCAATTTGTAACAATGAAAATACATCCTGCATATCAGATATTTACATTATGATTCATAACAGTAGCAAAATTACAGTTATGAAGTAGCAACGAAAATGTTACAGTTGGGGGTCACCATAACGTGAGGAACTGTATTGAAGGGTCGCAGCATCAGGAAGGTTGAGAACCACTGCCTTAGGCTATTTCAGGAGCCTCCTAAACTGGTTTCACCCTGGCCCTTCACAGCTTATTTTCAACACAGCAAGTCAGATCATGTCACTGCTCGGCTTAAACCACACAGTAGTTTCCCATCTTGTCAATCAACGTGCTTATAAAGGCCCTCCATGATTCCCCACCCACACACCCGCACCTTTCTGACCTCATCTTCCACTCTTCGCATGCTCATCCTTTCTTGATTCAGTCACACTGGCCTGCTTTAGTTGATCCCTAACCTTGCCAGGCATGCCCCTGCCTCTGGCCTTTCGTTGGTTCTCCTCTATGCCAAGAATGCTTCTCCTTCAGATATCCTGTGCCTCTTCCCCTCCTCCTCCAAGTCTTGATTTAAATGTCACCTTCCCAGTGAGCACTTCCCTGACAACCTTACTTTATATTGTACCCCTCTTTATTTTCTCCCTTGCACTTCTCACCACTAAACACAACACACACACACACACACACACACACACACACACACACACACTACGTGATCTTGTTTAATGTTTGGTTTCCCAGGGAGAGTGTATCAGGTACAAGGGCAGGGTTTTTGTCATTTCAGTTCACTCCCAATTTCTCCAGCACCTGGAGTGGTGCTTGCTTATAATACAAGCTTAGTAAATATTGGTTTAATGAATGAGTTAGTCCCTACTCACAAATGAAAAACAAAACCAACAGCCTTAGTAAAAGAGATCCTGGCGGAAATCCCCACACGTTGGTTGGCATGAAAGAAATACAACTTATTTAAAGGTGTAAATAGTTTTGGGCTTCCCTTTTATTTCAAAAAGTTCTATTTAACAAAGACGAGCCATTGCCTGTCCCGGTAATCCTATCTAGTCTTTAATGTGCCTTAATGAAAATGAGAACACAAAAAAGAATACAGAATGGGAGTCTGGGGGAGGGGGGAGGAAAGAGGGAGGAGAACAGAGGAAGATAAATAAAGGGTAGAAGGCTCCGTGGAATGCATGACCCGCAGGAACTGGACTTGCCCTGGGTCTTTTCTGCCTCAACTAGGTCCTGAAGCAGGTTTCCTGCCTGCGTCCTGCTCTCTAGGCCCTCCTCCTAACCAAAGAATCTTTCTGGCAGCCTGGCTATTTGCATCACTAATGAAGCCTCGGTTAGGTTGTTTCACAGCCTCCCCATTTAAATGTTCTATCATGCAATGGCATCTGTGAAGAAAGAATACAGAACCAGTCCGACCGGTGTGGGGCAGTGTTTGAGCATCAACCTATGAACCAGGAGGTCATGGTTTGATTCCCGGTCAGGGCACACTACTGTGAGCAGGTTGTGGGCTCAATCCCCAGTAGGGGGCAAGTAGGAGACAGCTGATCAATGATTCTCTCTCATCATTGATGTTTCTCTCTATCTCTCCCTCTCCCTTCCTCTATGAAATCAACTATATATATATATATATATATATATATATATATATAGAGAGAGAGAGAGAGAGAGAGAGAGAGAGAGAGAGAGAGAATACAGAACTATTAACAGTCAGTATAAATACCATTTCTCCCGCTAGAGGTGGGAGAGGGTGGAAGGGATGCTGTCCGCCACAGTGCCCGATAGGGAGAAAGTGGTTTGCTTTCCTTAAATGTACACCTCAGTGATGTGTACACAACAGAATGGCCAACCAGCGAGCAGCTGGCAAAGGCTGATGAGACAGCCACTCACCTGGCATGATTTGAGGGGCACCAAAGGCCATTACCACTCACCTGCCACAGCACATGCCCTGCTCTGGTTAGGACAGCTCTTCCTTGGGTGAAGAGGCTGTGTCTCTAAGGGTTGTCTAGCAAAGCCCAGATGTCCTGTAGAGGCAGAGAATCCAATCCAAGACTGTCCCTTACACTTGCCTGGGCAAGAGTACAAATGGCAGCCTACAAAATACGTGTTTAAATATTTAAGTTATAAACGAAGCCAACGAACCAATAAAATATGTTCCATCCTCCTATCCTGGAAACAACCTGTAAGGTTAGATTCACATTTAGAATTCTCAGATTCCTTGGACGTATCTGCCAGAAGTGGAGACCATGGAGGGCCACCTGTGGTCCCAGCTCATGTCCAGCCTCCCTTCTCCTCCCACCCTGGCTCCACCCCACCCCACAGCGCCTCCTGCACATGCCTGTGGTCACCACAGTGTGCACCTCCAAGTGCTGCTCACCTCCCCAAACAGCTGCCCTTGGCCACCTTGGGTTTGGGGTACGCACACCATGGGCACAGTCTGCCCTCCAGAGGACCAACACTGGGGATAGGCCTAAAGGAGGGATGAAGTTTTGGGGGGTGGCAGCTTCCCAGAATATGCTCTAGAAGAAGAGCTCGGGCTCTGGGATGGGACAAGAGGGCATGTCCCCTTGGCCCTAAGGACTCCTCACCCCTGTGAAGGGAGGCATGCCAGGAGCAGCTTTCCAAAGTGCAGGGCTCAGCCAGGGGGCCCCTCTTGCCTGGGTCTAAGGGACGAGCTTCTCAGGTCTAGGGCGTGAAGCGGAGCACAGAACCGTACCCAGGAGGGAGAAAGGACGAGCGTGTGGCCAGCGTGAGATGCTGCTGGGCAGGGGCTCACCGTGAGGGGTCGGGGAAGGAAAGTGAGGAAAGAAGAAATGGAAAAGGGTGAGTGGAAAGTAAAAAGGCACTGAAAACAAACCTACTTTATTACTATTTTTTCATGGGTTACCAAGTTTATTACATGACACAAATAAGTTCTGGGGAACTAATGTACAACAGTGTGACTCTAGTTAATAATTCTGTATTGTACACTGTGGGGCGCGGTTACGGTGTTTTGGCCAGGTTCAGGCCTCGGACTAATGAAAGGACAGGGTCCTCTCATTGCCACGTGCAAGTCCCAGCTGGAGGGCAGGGCCCGCCCAGCACAATCATAGCCAACGGCTGTGGTTGTGAGCTTGAACCTATGGTCCGAACACGTGGCCCCTCGTGCCTTGTGCTAGAGTTCAGGCGCATGTAGTTGAGTGGGGTTGGAGCTCTGGAGAATGCTGTAATCAACGTGATCACGCCCCTACTTTGCCTCGTGGCATCTGCTATAAAATAAAGACACAGCTTGTGGGCGCTGGCGTTGTCTCCTCATCAGGGAGGCAGCGTCCCACCGAGACCCAGCTATTACTCTCTTGTCTGTCTTTTCCTTAATCCTTTCACCCCCCCACTGGGGATCACCCTGGGTTGTGCAGCCACAGTATACTTGTTAAGAAGATAGATCTTAAGTGTTTACCCCCCTACACACATACAAAAACAACAACCATGAAAAACATGATAACTAAGTGAAGTGATGGATATGTTAAGTAGTTTGAATATGGTCATTTTCTTCACAATGGATACATATATAAAATCATCAAGTTGTGTGCCTTAACTACATGCAAATTATAATTTTCATAAACCTTAATAAAACTGGAAAATATACTAATAATAATGCAAGCCCAATATCCAAAATAAAAACATCTCATTTACAAATATAACATGGATCACATCAGCATAAACCAGCGGTTCTCAACCTTCTGGCCCTTTAAATACAGTTCCTCATGTTGTGACCCAACCATAAAATTATTTTCGTTGCTACTTCATAACTGTAATGTTGCTACTGTTATGAATCGTAATGTAAATATCTGATATGCAGGATGGTCTTAGGCGACCCCTGTGAAAGGGTCATTTGACCACCAAAGGGGTCGCGACCCACAGGTTGAGAACCACTGGTATAAACTGTTTTCAGATATTATGATGGTTTGAAAATATTATCTGTTATTTGTCTAATTTGTTAGTTAACTAAGAAAAAACCTGATTTCTGATTTATCCAGATTTATTAATCATATCCATTGATTTTATTTTCTCTATTTCTATAATTTCTACTTTTATCTTTATCATTTCTTCCTAGTGACTTTCTTATCTTACTCTTTGCTCTGTTCAAACCTACTTTATAATTAACCTTGGGTTTATTTATGTAAGTATGATGTGGTTTTTTATTGAACTATTAATATTACTCTCAGTTCATGGTACATTGTCATCATTATCCTTGTATCACTAGAGGCCCGATGCATGAAAATTTATGCAAGAGTAGGCCTTCCTTCCCCCGGCTGCCGGCACTGGCTTCCCTCCGGCACTGGCTTCCCTCCAGCACCCAGGACCCGGGCTGCTTCCCTCCTCCACCTGCTGGCAGGCACCCAGGACCCAGTCTGGCTTCCCTCCGACCCCGACTTTGTCAGGAAGGACATCTGGAATGATGTCCAGAAGACGTCTAGTCTAATTAGCATATTACCCCTTTATTATTATAGATTATTATTACATTGGGTGGTAAAAGATCACGCTTGTTTTATTTATGTATTTTTCCCTTTCCTTTCTTTTTAAAATATATTTTTTTAATTTGAAGCAACCTTATCTTTTTAAATATCTTTTAATTAATTTTAGACAGAGAGGAAGGGAGAGGGATAGAGAGATAGAAGCATTAATGAGAAACACCAATCGGCTGCTTCCTGCATGGCCCCTACTAGGGATTGAGTCCACAACCTGGGCATGTGCTCTGGTTCATAGGTTGATGCTCAAACACTGAGCCACGTTGGCTGGCCAGCTGGGCTTTCCTATCCTCCCCATTCCCCACTTCTCACCCTATCCCCAGCCCCACTGGCAATCCTTCTAATATATTAAAGAATATTTTGGCACTCTCTAAGGGCCATCCTGCTTCCTCTCTCTTCATCTCTGGGTACAATAGCCCTCTGTCTCAGGCATGCCTGAACCAGCAATCATTTTCTGCCTCTACCTGTTATGTGTCTTTGAAGTGACCATGTGTCCTTTATGTCCAATAGAAGACGTAGTCATCTCCCTCCTAGGCCTCAGAAGAAGAACAGACCACATTAAAACTTCCAGAAGACCCTGTTACCCTAGAATGGACTTTTGCAAAAATCACTCCATCTTGGACCCCCTACAAAAGAAAGGCCAACATCTCAGGAGTTATTTTCATCTATAAATACTCCTGCTGTGTTTTCTTATGATGCTGTCTGAAGTCTGTTACATCCCAGTGTAATACTTTGCCTGCTAAAGACATCTGGCATACATGCTATATGGTGAGTAGAAGAATGTTTCTGTACTAATTTATTCTTGGGAAAGAGTTTGTTTAAAGTTTCTGGCTACCAAATGTAGTGTAATTTTGATTACCATACTTTTTCTTGGATAGTTCAGTTAACTCCTCTACCTAATCAGTTCATAATAAATCTTTATATTATGATTTCACTTACCCTTGAACACCAAAAACATGGATAGATTTTCATTAACTTAAAATTGTTGATTAAGTATAATATCCAAAGTTTAGACTTTAAAAACTAATTTGATATGATTTGGTGCGGTGTATGCATGTGTTTTTTTAAAAAAATAACATATATCTAAATTATCTGGAATTTAAAATAAATTTTTGTCATTAGTCCTAATTTTTTTCCTTTTAATAACAGATTTAATTCATAATATAAACTAAACATATTTTTATAGTAATACATTTCTATTTATGGAATTTAATTAATATTATAGGAAAGCAGGCCCTGATTGGGTAGCTCAGTTGGTTAGACTTAGAGCATCCTCCCAATACACCAAGGTTGAGAGTTGGATCCCTGGTCAGAGTACTTATAAGAACCAACCAATGAATGCATAAATAAGCGGAACCACAAATCAATGTTTCTCTCTTCTCTTTTCTCTCTCTCTCTCTCTCTCTCTCTCTCCCTTCCTCTCAGTCTAAAATTAATTTAAAAAACATTTTTAAAAAAATAAGGAAAGCAAATACTGAGAGACCTATGAGACCTTCAGAATCAGAGGCTGGTCTGTTTGTAGGCCTCCTCACCAGTAATCTGATGTATGGGCCTCTAGGGAACTAACGTGTTGTCACTAGGGGAGGGTTAAGACCATTGGATCCTGGTGATCTTACCAGATCAGGATTTAAATTCTTGGTCAATAGATGCTAAAATAATTTCTGGCAGGAATAAGGGCAAACACTTTCAGGGACGAGGAGCCTTGTTGTTTCTGCCCTAAGGGGCTTTTGAAGCTATCTCTGAACGTGAAGCCAGAGCTGCCAGCCACTGGTCCTGGCCTTACAGGTGAACATATGACCTACCATCCTTTTTTCTTAAATATATTCTTATTGATTTCAGAGAGGAAGGGAGAGGGAGAGAGATAGAAACTGGCTGCCTCCTGTACGTCCCCCACCTGGGGATCGAGCCCGCAACCCTGGTATGTGGCCTGACCAGGAGTTGAACCATGAGCTCCTGGTTCACGGGTCAACGATCAACCACTGAGCCACACTGGGCGGGCTGACCTACTATCCTTTATTCCTTCTCTTGGGTACCAGCATCCTCCCATCCAGGGCTGCTGCGTCTTTGTGCAAATTAGAAAAAGGTGAGACAGACAGACAGAGCCTTGCACCCAAGACACCTGGCCTGGACAGCAGGGTGCAGCCTACTTTGCCCCGCCACAACCATTACAAGCACATACACCTGTCCTTCCCCATCAGTTTTCAGACAAACTGTGTCCCCCTTAAAGAACCCTCCTCCTGGACACCCTTCAGTGACTACCCCAACGCTTGGTTCCCCTCCCGAACCTTCAGTAAGGTCACCAGCAGATTCCAAGTGGCTAAATCTAAGGAACAGTTTTTGTTCCTTGTTTTACTGTTGCCTCAGGGAAACTTTGACCCTGCTGATCACTGTCTCCATAAAATGCTCTTCCCTTGGCCTGTGTGGCACCACAGATTCCTGGTCCTCCTCCTCTCTTTGGCCTCTCCTCTCGGTCTCTTTGCCTAGGGCTTCCCGCCTTGAAACCACATTTAGACGTGGACCTTCCTCCAGCCTCAATCCTGACCTTCCCCTCTTCCCATTTTATTCTCTTTCATTGGTGCCAATGACCTCAAATATTATTCCCACAGTCAGGGAAAACCTTATTCCTCCATCCTCACACATCCACCCCAGGAAGAAACAGTACTGGAGCCGCTCTCCTGGCCATCTTGCCACAACTTACCTTTCTTCTCCAAAGACCAAATGAATGGGCTGATTGGGAAGGTTTGAGAAAGACTGCATTAACTGCAGTGACAACACGGTTAAGTGTGGCAATGCCCTTAGCAGACCAGGAGGCCTGGCAGCTGGGGTGGGGAGATTCAATTCAGAAGGAAGGTATGAGGAAGCCCAATAATGGCTGCAGATTTCGAGCTGTACCTTCCAATTCAGTGTTATCAGCAATGGGGCTGATACACTGAACCCTAGCAGTGGCCTAACCCTTCTTCTCAGTTGGTTCAGGATTCGGAATGGGGGTTGATTTGTCTCCTCCTCACCCCAAACTCAGTCCACATATCAGGGAAGCTTAAGAAAAACAAAGATAGAGCTTTGGAGATTTAAGATCTATCCCATGAGAAGGATGTTTCGGGTGTGGCTGGGATAGGAGGTGTCAGTACGTTAGTAAACACAGGACTTCGAGGTCCTGGACTGCTGTAAGACACAGCAGTTTAATGAGATGGGAGTCACAGGGCCTCGGCAAACCCAGGCCGTTGCAACCTCGGTGTACACAGGCTGTGCAGGTTTTTGCAACTTATAGATCTAAGCAGGTGTGCCCAACGTGGGGATTAACTGAGTCTTTCCATCACTTAAAACATGCAGAGCTTCAGCAAACAAATTCTTTAGGCATTAGTGGTTGGGAAAATTTCTTGCTGCTCCTACCATATTTCTGGGCAGGAACAACCCAAAGGAAGCAAAGTTTCACATGAAACTTCCTGTACAGGGAGCTTGTGGTTCTCAAACTCTAACGTTCATGAGAATCCCCTCTTGAGTTTGTTATCATTATTTCCTGGGCTTCCACCCCCAGATTCAGTGGGTCTGGGTGGAGGCCTATGAATTTGCATTTTGAGCAAGTTCCCAGGTGATGCTGATGCTGCTTGTCTGAGGACCACTTCAGAGCCACTGGGTTAGAGTGGTTCTAACTTTTAGGTGCATTAAATCAACTGCCTCAAACTCTCTTCCTCTTTATATTATGTTGAACTGGATCCAGTTTTAGAGCCAAAGAGTGAACTGCGGTGGAATTAATCTCTTGATTTCTTTATCTGTTGGGTTTATCCCCCCTGGAGGATATTTTTTCCATTGATTTTAGAGAGAGTGGGAGTAAGGGAAGGGGGTGGAAGAGAGAAAAGAGAGAGAAAAACATCAATGTTCCAGAGCCACATCAATTGGTTGCCTCTTGCATACTCCCCAGTCGGGATGGGGAACCTGCAGCCCAGGTACATGTCCCTGACTGGAATTGAACCTGTGACCCTTCGGTTTGTGAGCTGATGCTCTAACCACTGAACCACATCGACCAGGGCTCTTGATTTTTTTATGACTTACCTACAGACTCCTAGAATCACCTTCAAACCCCCACTACATAGATCAACGTCCTCTCTAAATTTGTTACTTAAGCCTGACCATGGCTTTGGTCAGAGACTCATATTTAGAAGTTTGGCCACAGAGGGTGGTGGTTTTTCATCAATAAACAAATAGAGGAAAAGGGACCCTTATTTTATAGATGGCAGGCCATCTTTTTGGGCACTTTTCACCCCTGATGTTTCAACAATTTTTCATCCACTGACCCTTGCCCTGCTCCTTGGTTATAAATTCCCACTTTTGCCTCTTGTATTCGACAACTGTAAAACTCCATCGCAGTGGTCCCTACTCCTACCACAATAGTCCTGAATTAAATCTGCCTTGTGCTTTCACAAGAGCCATGAATAATTTTTTTCTTTAACAAAACATTGATCTTAAAGTTGGAGAGAGAGAAAAATAAGTAAAGGAGACAGGTTGATATTGGAGGGCGGTGGTCAGCAGGGGAAGCCTGGGGTTCATCCAGAGACATACCTTGGTTGTTTGAAGCCAGGGTCCATCCTGATTGGCCAGCACTGAGCCTACCACCACTGCCATGTAGAGAGAAGGAATTCTTTAAGAGAAGGGTTTTAATTGTTGCGGCCAGGATAGTCCAATATGAAAGGTGAAAGGAGATGTGCTTGGACCTAACTGCTCTCAAGGAAGGTCTTAGAAACCCTTTTTGTTTGTTTTGGTTAGTACTAGACCAGAGGGCTGGCTAGAATCCAGAGAACTCAATACAGGAAGATGAGATTTCAGAGAACAGACTGAGATCATCTACACCCAACACCACCCCCCAATCAGGGAGGTCAGCAGTTCCAGGAAGCTTTTGAGAAGTGCCCTCTTAAAAGGTCAGATAAGGAGTCAACAATAAGTGTAACTGGGGAACCACCCTTTAATGACTGTGATAGTTATATCAGGCAGTCATGCAACTGGGGCCAGATTAGAGCGGGGAGGTCTGGGATGATGACCACAGAATGCTTCTAGCATTACCAGTGATTTTCAAGGTGGCTAAATTATTATAGGAGAGAATGCAGGCATGGGCTGTGCCCTTACAGAACATACCCAGGAAACTTTTGGAGGGGGACAAGGAAGGCATAGGAAGATGAAATAAGCTACAGGTGAACTAGGTAATATAGTGGTAGACAGAGTCCATGCCTGGGTTAGATATTGGTCCAGTAGAACAACAGCATCCATTTTGGATCACCCACCCAGGAAGACAGACAATATCTAAGGAAAGTCTTTGCTGCCATCTCCATAGCTTTACTACCCAAGAGGAAGGCAGCGTTCTCTGGAGTAGCACATGGCAGAGGCGATTATCCTCACCAGCCCCAGGAAAGAGCCTCAGGACCACCACCACAAGCAAATATGTATTGAGAACCTTCTCTGTGCCAGGTATTGCTCTAGGCACTGGGATTACAGCAATGAACAAGACCTCTGCCCTCATGGAACATATACTCAATAGCAGCTTTAGTTGAGGAATCCACTAGGAGTGATTCTCCAGATTAAACAAGTGAGAAAACAGGTATTACAGGCCTAAGAAATTCCAGGCAAAAGGCAATAGCTCTTGGGGGGGGGGGGGGGGGCAGCTCAGAAAAGCTGATAGTAACATATTCAGGGATTTTGAGCCACAACTTTGGTGGCTTGAAATTTTCCATGGTGGGAGTATTTACACTAAGGAAATGGGCAAAGTCTTTAAATCAAGGCCCCGCCGCCCCCGCCCCATGAGACAGCACACTATTGCAATAATTGCTCACCAGAGAAATGTAGGTGATTCCTTGGTTTGACAGGGACATAGGGGAAATTGAATTTAAGGGCAGGTTTCAATTTCCATATATAATATGGTAAACTTAAGTCGTAATTAACCTCTTCATGAAAGCCTTTTCCCAACATTGTAAAGTTCACAGGTCAAAAACTATAGAAAATTGGCATACAGACAAGACTGATATGGACAAGATTTTCTCTTTCATGTTTTCTTAGTCTTCCCTTCTTCCCCAGATACTGCCAGGCCTCTGCCCAGGTCTTCAGCTAATGCCAAAACTATGTGTGTTCTGAGATTCTGAGAACTTTACTTAGATTGAAGTAGACATTTGTCATGACTTTTGGCTGCCCATCATCTGAACCTCTTTCCTCTGCTTTTACAAAAGCAGAAAATTCCATCTACTTCCCCAGCTTCCCTTGAAGCCTAAGACAAGGGTGCAGCCACGTGACCAAGGCTCAGGCTGTGAGACACACCCACAGGAGTATCTTCAATCAGGAGTCAGAGATGCACAGACACAGCCCCAGCAGAAAATTCCCCACGACAATGGGTGCACAGCTCAGCTGTTGACAAGTGTCCTCATGGGACCACTTTGTAGGTCATACTACTCAAAGACAGGTTTTCCAAACCTCCCTACAATTCCCCCAACTGCCCAAAGAACCATCAATAAATTCCTTCTCAGTTTAATCAGGCTGAGTTGGTTCCTACAGCTCACAACCTACTATCAGGACTGATGCAACTGGTCTAAATGCCCTCATGGGCCAGCAGATTTGCTCTAGTTTTCTAAATTTCTTGGGTGTGGAGCTGGTGTCGGGTAATCTTTCATGTCTTATTAACTTTAAAGTCTTTTTTTTCTTTCTTCTGTGGCTGGTGATAGAAGTAATGGAAAAGTGAAGAAGTGGAAGAAAATTGAGGGCTCTTACCAAGAAAATACATTTTGAAATGATTTTAATCTTGCCCTTAGAATTACTAAGGGTTTTACTTTTTGAATTTTATTGAATTTATTAAGGTGACATTGGTTAATAAAATTATATTGGTTTCAAGTGTATAATTCTATAACACATCATCTGTACTGTGTGTTCACCACCCCACGTTAAGTCTCCTTTCATCACCAACTATCCCCCTTTTACTCTCTTCTACCTTCTCCCCCAACCCCCTTTCCCTCTGGTAATCACCATATTATTGTCTGTGTCTATGAGGGTTTGGTGGGGTTTTTTTGCTTAATCCCTTCACCTTTTTTCACCAACCCCACAACCCCCACCCCTCTAACAGTTGTCAGTCTGTTCTCTGTATCTATGAGTCTATTTCTATTTTGTTTGTTAGTTTATTTTGTTCATTAGATTCCACATGTAAGTGAAATTGTAAGACACTTGTCTTCCTCTGACCAGCTTATTTCACTTAGAATAATACTCTCTAGGTCAGTGATGGCGAAACTTTTAAGCTTGGCGTGTCAGCATTTTGAAAAACCCTAACTTAACTCTGGTGCCGTGTCACATATAGAAATTTTCTGATATTTGCAACCATAGTAAAACAAAGACTTATATTTTTGATATTTATTTTATATATTTAAATTCCATTTCACAAAGAAAAATCAACCAAAGAAATGAGTTCGCATGTCACCTCTGACACGCGTGTCATAGGTTCGCCATCACTGCTCTAGGTCCATTCATGTGGTCACAAAAGATAAGATTTCCTTCTTTTTTACTGCCAAGTAGCATTCCATTGTGTAAATGTACCTCAGCTTTTTTATCCACTCATCTGATGGGCACTTGGAGGTCTTCCAAATCTTAGCTATTGTAAACAACACTGCATTCAATGTAGGGGTGCATATAATCTTTTGAATCAGTGTTTCCAGTTTCTTTGGATATATTACCAGAAATGGAATCTCTGGGCCATATGGCGGTTCCATTTTTTATTTTTTGAGGAAACTCCATACTATTTTTTACAGTGGCTGCACCAATCTGCATTCCCACCAACAGTGCACAAGCATTCCCTTTTCCCTACATCCTCACCAACACTTGTTGTTTGTTGATTTGTTGATGACAGCCATTCTGATTGGTGTGAGGTGACATCTCGTGGTTTTAATTTGCATTTCTCTGATGATTAGGGACATTGAGCATCCTATATAATAAAAGCCTAATATGCTAAGTGTCCGACTGTCCATTTGATCGTTCGACCATTCGACCAGTCACTACGACACGCACTGGCTACCAGGGGGCAGACGCTCCAACCAGTAGGTTAGCTGGGGTCCGGCTGATCGGGACTGGGCGAGACAGGCCAGACACGCCCTGGACGAATCCGTGCACCAGGCCGGTTTGGCCCAATCCCCGAAGGCCAGGCTGAGGGACCCCACCGGTGCACAAATCCGTGCACCAGGCCTCTAGTTTTTTCATATGTCTATTGTCCATCTGTATGTCCTCTTTGGAGAAGTGTCTATTCAGGTCCAACTTTTCTCAATGTTCTGAATCACTTTTTAAAAATTGAGAGATCATTCACATAGCCTAAAACTCATCCTTTTAAAATATACAATTCAATGGTTTTTAGTATATTCACAAAATTGTGCAACCATCACCAGCACCTATCCCAGAATATTCATCACCCCCTAAAAAAACCCTGAATCCACTAGCAGTCATTCCCCCATTCTACTCTCACTCTCCCAGTCTTGCAATCAGAAATCTACTTTCTGTCTCTAAGCTCGAAGTGGCCTGTGTGGTACCAGATGGCATCACCCTGTGTCATCAAGAGCACCGGTGATGGAGCATTTTACCACAGTGCTCTGCTCTGTCTGCTGGATTTTCTTCCAGGCTACAGACACCCATCCTGCCAGTTTTGATGCACATGGTAGGTAATGATACCTCCTCCCAACAGCTGCCTGGCTGATGCGATTGTAATAAAATGTAGAGGGAAAATTCACATCTTAAAACCAATGAAATACTGTGATAGATGGAAGTTATTTGGGACATTTTAATTTTATTAGCTTAGCATCATTGTCAAACATCATACGTTTATGCTGTCATTTGATCCATTGCATATCTTCTGGTAAACCAGTTGGACAACACAGCTGAGCAAATATGAGATAGGAAGGAGGAGAGTGATGAGTTTTCACCCTAGGGTACAATGGGCATTGATAATTTAAAGAACTGTCCTGCTCCCACTTCAGAGCCTTCTTGGAGCAAAGGGACTCAAAGGAGCAGTGGATGGTAGGGGCTGGGGTATGTAGGCTAACCTCATAAAGGTGAGAGGAGGATAGCAGGCTTCTAATCCTCACCTCGGGAAGTTCACTGCCAGAAGAGGAAGGAGAGTAGCCTCTTTCCCTCTCTCCAGCCCTTACTAACCATGGGCTGGTCATTTTTTGGTTGCCCATTTTCCACCTTTTCTGCCTCCTCTGTGCCTGGGCAGGCTGACTGCTACAGACTGCATTCCCGGGTCTCTATAGTCCGATGGTTTCCTGTGGGTTGGTCTATGAGAGGAAGTTCAGAAAGTGGGAAGTCGCCCGACAGGCATATGGCTCAATGGTTGAGTGTCGACCTATGAACCAGGAGGTCACAGTTCGATTGAGGTCAGGGCACAAGCCCGGGTTGCAGGCTCCATCTCCAGTGGGGGGCATGCAGGAGGCAGCCAATCAATGATTCTCTCTCATCATTGATGTTTCTAACTATCTCTCCCTCTCCCTTCCTCTCTGAAATCAATAAAAATATATTTTAGCCCTAGCTGGTTTGGCTCAGTGGATAGAGTGTCGGCCTGTGGACTGAAGGGTCCCAGGTTTGATTCCGGTCAAGGACACATATCGAGGTTGTGGCTCAATCCTCAGTGTGGGGCGTGCAGGAGGCAACCGATAGATGATTCTCTCTTATCATTGAGGTTTCCATCTGTCTCTCCCTCTCCTTTCCTCTTTGAAACCAATAAAAATATTTTTTAAATATATATATATATATATATTTTTTTTTTAAGAAAAGATTTTTTTAAAAAGTGGGAAGAGCAAGTAGACAGAATATTTCTCTTCCCCACCTCTAGAGACTCCCCTCACCTCTGGAGAGTGAGGGCCACAGTTTTGGCACTGGTTCCTTCCCTCG